TTACTCTATCCCTGGAGACCATGGGAGACAGTTGGTCTTAACGTTTTGCTATCAGGGTTTCCCCCTCATTTCTTCTTCCCTCACATTCCTCATAGAACTGCCATGTGGTCTGGCTGGACTTTCTGGAGGTCTTAATTTACTTAATTTGAACTGTTGACTTTATTTTTTTTTTTTACTGTAGTTTACAATGAGAGCAGGCATAAAAAACAGTGGATGAAAATAAATCTAGATCTCAATTCACAAGATATTATTTATCAAGTCCAATCCAACACTTTTCCTTAATTATTGTATACTTAAATTTTTCTTGAGATGATAAACTTGATCCAAAAAAGCTGCTCACTTTCCTGTCATGTAGAGGTAATCAATTTAGAAGAAGTGATGTCACAACATTGTGAGTGAAATAGCAGTTGCTGAAAAAAAAAGGTTTAACACTTTATTTTTCAAAATATCAAAACTAATGTAAACAAAATGCTTAAAACTTACTTATTTATTGTATAGTATCAATTAAGACAATGATTTTGGGTTGCAATCCTTTTGCAGATCAGCCTGTATTCCCAAAATGATAAAGAACATTAACTCAAGGCTTAATTCATAACTCTCTGTCCAATTTCTGCTTTACTGTGAATCTGGCGTAATGAGAAATGAGTTATCATTACCTGCCCACTAAGACTCTCTGCAGACATTTTGCATACTGTCGGATTTTGGTAACTGCACTGACATTCTGCGTCGGCGGAGGCAATAATCCCCCCACTCAGTGTGGTGCCAAACACATGGCAGACAACGAAAATGACAGATCATATTGTGCAGAAGATAAACAATACTTGTATTTAAAAATAATACAGCGAGAAACAACTTTCCAGTTATAAAGTTGCAAAACACTCTATTGCTATTCTGGTGAAGAATAATTTCTTTCTTTTACATATGCCCTTATATTACAATGTATAAACAGCATCACCATATTATCATCAAATAAGGTGCTTTTTGAAAATTGAGTAATAGTGGTCATTCACCTGAGCTAAAAAGTAATGCAAATCGCCCCACTTGTCAGTCTTTCAGCTCATGTTTACAGCATCGGAAGGATCTTTATTCTGGGTTGTGTAACAAGCTGTCAACTATTCCAAATCCAGTGTGTTCTGTATTAGGGGTTGAAAGCTAAATAAAAAAGGGACTTAGTTGTGCTTTGTTCAGCCTCAAAGTTGGCTACTGATATCAGCCCCAGATCAATTTGTTCCTTTACCAATTCAACAAAACTCCCCTAAGCTGGGTAAAAATTGACTTTCTATTGAAGGCAGTTCGTTTATAAATCTCATCCAAAAAAAAAACAAACAAAAAAACATCAAGCATACAGAATGTGAAAAGGCAAAGCTATACTTTGACAAGAAACCGAGCCTGGATGATTGACCAATACGTCTCCACAGAAAACATATCATTCTTTAAAGCAGCCTTACTTAAATTAGCTTTCTTGCAAAGTGATAAGTATTATTTAACAGGATTATGCTGTTGTAGACCTCTAAGAAAATAAACTTTTCTGTTGCCTCCTTTCATTTATTTTTACCTTTTTTGTAGTCCAGCTATGACCTCTGAAAATGCTGCAGTCATGCACAATTTTAAGAACTAACAACAAAGCAGAAAATTGTGTATTACAGTCCACAGTACCATAAAGGAAAGGAAGAATGGTTAAAAAGGGGCAGAAAAAGCAGAACTGAAAGTAGATCACACCTCACAGAAAAAGATTTGAGAAAAATTGGAAATTTGGATTCTTCTTTTCTTTACTCTGATTCTTATCCTAAATAAATGGTAGTGTTCTGTTTAAAATGATCAGAAATCAAGCTTATTTCCTCAGATATTCAGTTTTATTTTCATCAAAATACTTTTTTTTTGTTGGATCTAAGTATTAAAAGCTTGGCAATAAACATTAGCTAGAAATATCACATTTTGCGTAATTGTTTCAGCTTATCCTGCAAAATTATATTAAGAAAAATCTATACAAGAATGTTTCTTAAAGTATTCTTTGTAATATTACTTTACACACCCCTTACTCTCTATGCACATTCACTAATATAATGGAATAACAGTGGTGGATTAAGAACTTCTAGTCAGAAAGTTACAACTTTTTCCTGTGTACAGTTCCCCAAGATGTATATTAGCCAAAAAAGCTTTTATTTTGTTGAAGATTAATCACCCCAAAGATAAGAACCAGCGTAACCACAGGCCTTGGTTCAGTAGTAATGCACTCTTCATAATTATCTGGGAAACTTCTGGCCTGTGCAACATTATTTAAGGAGTTCAAAATGGCAGCGAAAATTAATTATCTTCTGCAGATTATCTTTAAAGCTATAAAAAGTAGAAATACTACTTATACACAGAAATGGAGTGCTTATCAACTGGATTTTTAAGCCTATTGTAACAAATATATATATACACATATTTTGCGTTGTTGTGCATTTTGTTCACATACATATGATTAACCACTAAATGTATGATGCAAACACAGTACTGTTTGCTGAGCTAAACATAAGGCTTCTTCACTGAACAGAACAGAATGTAGTTAATGACAAGTTGATCCCGGGATGTCCTATGATGGTCACAGTTGCACGGGTAGCCTGATGGCACTGTGCACAATTGAGCAAACCAGAAAACAGATGCTTGTCATTTTCGAAAGCAGTCCTCTGTATCCTTTAGTAATGTATTGGTGGTTAGAAAACATTGCTGAAACACTTGGACAAGTAAAATGACCAAATGGGATTTATTCCCCCATTTTTTGACAAATGGGTTTGTGGCGTTTGTTGATTCTTGATTTTTTTTTTATCTGCAAGAACTATTTATGTTTTTATACAGTTTTATACACTTTCACTCAGTTTATTAAGCGTTAAATACCTTGTTTTCCGCCCAGGGTTATTATTCACAACTAATTGGAAAAAAGTCTCACTTTATGTCTTTTATATACGTTTATCCCTTAAATCTAAATGGAAACTATTGACAGTCATAAAGACATCCTCTCGTGGAATCGGAAATGGTGGGGACTGATATAAGGAGATAAAGGGGACAGAGGATGGAATGGCTCTTATATACCTCATTTACCAGCAAACCGCTTAGCAAAGCCATTGGCATTTCCGGGGTCAAGGGAGCTAAATGAATGTTCCTCATATCCTATGGTGACTCGTAAAAAAAATGGTGACACACATATTCAGTCATACACACACAGACGTTGTTGCTAAGTCAGTGTGATTTATACCGAGACCTCGGGTGACAGTCATGGGCCGTTGACTCTGTCACAGCAGAACAAGAGAGAAATAACTTAATGGATGTGGATATTGAGTAACAGACATTAACGCAGAAGGCCAGAATAACAGGAAGCGAGCCTTGACCTCTGTGGTGAGAGCAGGGAAGACAGAAGGCAAATGGGCACAGATGATCCTCCATCTTGATTTACAACAAGATTTGCAGTTCATAATACTAAACCACAGTCCGACAACTGATACAGAATTCCATTCCTTTTCCCCCTGACCTGCAGCAAATTTTCTATTATTGAAAATCCCATCCATTATGTGACATATCAATTTAAACTGTGTCTTTTTTAATGGTAATAAAAGTCAAATGATTCATTTTTTTAGCCAGCTTACAACAATTACTATCATTCATGTTCTTATGTAACTTATTCAAACCCCTTTCTTCTGTTTAGTGCTTTCCCTCCAAGTTTGTCTCAATCTATGTCCTGCTGATAGGGATAATATTGCCTTAACCAAGTCTTCTCATCATTATCTTCTAAATAAGAGATATCCTGTTTGTGTTGCAATCTTTATAAATGACCATTAACCCATTCCCCTGCTTTTCTCACCATCTCCCAGACGGATGGTGGTCCTCTGGGTGAACAGGCCAAATACATCATAAAAGCCAGTGAAGCAGTTTGTCATGCACCATTTCTTACTAAACTAGCTGTTTCTTTTATGGTGTGGCCTTTAAATGACAGGCCTTTTTGGGAGGAGGATCTTGGTCTGCTACAGTCAAATATCTATTTCCTTTTACAGCACCTTAAAAAATACAAAAATCCCTTTTACTTTACCATTTTTATAGGTCAAAATCCTGAATCTCAAGCATTTTATTGAAGTTTTATATGATAAACCAACACATTCAAGTTCTGAATTAAAAAGTGAGAAGAAAAAAGCCATGTACTTCTTTTAAACTTGTATAAATAGCCAAGCAATTCACTGTTTTTATGACTGTGACTTTCTAAATGCTCATCTCAGATTACTTTTACAATTTCTAGTTAGAAACAGAACCCGGATAAAATAGCAATGTAGATTTTACCAAGTAAGATAAGAGAAAAAAATACTCTTTTACACTTAACTCTGAAAAATAAGGCTTGCTTGTGAATTATTTGTCGCTATCAACCACACACTTGTTAGAGCACACTCCCATATTCACTCTAATTCAATTTTTACAAATTCAATAGAATACACGCACACACTGCTCAGGTGTGTGCGTGTATTCAAACAGCAGGCATTTATAACCAACCTCACCCATGACCGCACAGCCTCGCCCCGATTAATTCAGCCTCCAGAGACAAGCATCCGCAGGTTAAACAGCCGCCTTATAACAGAGACCAAGTGAGCAGTCTTGATCGATGACTGCGACTCAGAGGTTTGACATGTCTGATAAACGTGGAGCAGCTGATATGTTTTTAAACAATGTAGTCCTACCCACACATTTAACATCCACATGATGAAACCAGGGAAAAGCTTTCAGGATGATTAATAACAATTTTGGCCTGTTCTAGGCAGGGGATCTGTAATACAGCGAAGCTGACCTATCTGTTAAATGATAGCTTTCTGGCTTTTAAACACAGGTTTTTATTGGGTCAGTGTAATGACAAAATATGACAGCGCTGTCCTAGTTAGACTGGTAACCTTGACAAGAAAATACAGTGACTTCTATGTTTATGTCTGAGACAAAAATACACTGCTGACGATGTATAATAATTTACATTTGATTTCTTTCAGCATTAAGTCAGACATGCGAGCCGAAAGACCAACAGTCGAACTACGTGAGGGAGATGCTAATGGGCTGTTGGACTGATTTTGTTGGAGAAAACAAAGCAGAGATCCACATTCTTAACCTGATATGGAACACGGTAAGAATTTTTGATTTGTTCAAAATTAGTTTGTGTATAACCGAATACAAACTGGTTAAAAAAGATAAATATTATTTCAGTATTTTGACAGAAAGCTCCTACAGCTTGGAGCAATCTATATTATCTATTTAAAATTAACCCAGCAGGTGAAAACCAGAGAATCACTGCTATACTGCAATCTTGCATCAGAATCCTGAAATTTTAAACTTTAATATTTGCTGCATTTTTGATACATGTGTTTAATGTTTAATATTTGCTACAGTTCTTATTGATGCCTTTAGAATTTAATTTTTTGCTGGAAATTCAACCCAAGTATGTTCTTGCAGTTGGATGTTCTAGTCAAAAAATACCCCTGGAGCCTGATACACTCGTTGTTGTTTTAAAATTTTATTTAGGTATATGAAATGAGAATAATTATTATTTCCTTTTGCTTATAAAACATGGACATAAAATAAATAAAAAAATGAAGAGAAATTACTTCAATTTTTTGTAGTTATAAAAAGATGAAACTGAAATTAAAACACATTATTGTGAATGACTTTAAAAAGAAAATGAATGAAAAAGTATTGTTTGGTTTAGATAAAAAAAAACATCAACTAATTCTTCAACTATTACAGATGCTTAAAGAAGAAACCCTGACGTCTATTTATCAAATAAATAAATACATTAATTAATTAATAAAAAAATAAATAAATAAAACAGCAACAAGAAAAATAAAACTGTACTTTGTGTGGGAAGTCTTTTAATGGGTAAAACTGTACTTTACTTTGCCAAGCGGTGGGGTGCAGTTATCAGAATATGATTTAATGGGCAAACCTTTGTATTATTTAATATCTCTATTAACTTTGATATTTAATAATTCATTGCTGGTGTCTATTTCGAGCAAACAGTGAATAAGAGACATTCAAACCGAGTTACTCCTCCATGATAGGTTTACACAGAGGACAAACAGTCATTCAAACATGAAGAAATTAGGGCAGAACAATAGACTAGTTATGCTTAGGGAAAGAAGTCAGATAATGCAAAACAAACTCACTCATACACAAGGAAAAACATGCAAACCCCGGCCAGAAGAAGTCAAGATAGGTATACAAACCCAGGAGCTTCTTGGTAAAAGGCAACGTTTCTACAAACTCCTTTACAAGAAACACTTTGTACATTAGATACTGTGAAAATAGTGACCCACTTACACATTGTTCCAGTATGCAGACACATATGCTGTAATACCCACTCCCTTTTCCCCTCATTCTCTTTCTAAACCTTTATGTAAGTGGTTTCTTAAAAATGTTCCTTCTAATGATCAAAATAATAAAAATCTATACAGGTTGAAAGGAATAGGACAGTATTGGTATCCTTGACATCCTTCGGTGCATTCACAAACTGTGCATATTTGTGAAATGGTTTGCATTTTTTCCTCACAGAGTATCCTTGTGCCCGAGACGTACCAATATTTTCTCTATTACATTAACATCAATGTTGTAGGTGTTGAAACACTGTTTATCTATTTGAGAGACACAGAATTTTCATTATTACCAAGCACTTAAACATTAAACAGTGTAT